CTTCGCATGGCTATATTATCCGCATTTTACAACATTTCGCAACGAAATTTTGGAATATTACTAATTTTGTGATACTCTTTCAGGCTGTGATGAAATTTTTGTCTACATCAAAATTTACAAAAAGAACGAAAACTATTGAAATCACCAATAACAATTTAACTGTTAGAATTTGAATGCCTTAGCACTCTGTTGGTTCCCACGAGTGCATAAATGATTGACATAAGTAAATTTTATGCATAAAGAAACCATTTAAGAAGCTGTTTTAAATTCCCAAGAGCGGAAAATCGCGCACTTTACAAGGAGATGTTTTAAACTAAATTTTAATACATGCACCTTGTCAATATTTTACGCATCATTACGTTCAGCTGCTTGGAAGGGCATTCAAATTTTAACAATAGTGATTTCAATAGTTTTCCGTTTTCTGGGACACCCTGTATAATGCAAATGGTCCATTGAGACTATACAAAAGAGCTTTTGTCTGCTGGAAAATATAAGGCGAGGGATCATTAATAATGGGAGGGGGGGGGCGGCGGTGGTCAAGAAAAGGAGGGCGGCTCTAACTGTTTTTTCCTAAATTGGAAAGGCCTCAAATTGAAAAATATGTGACAAAGGGCGACCCCAATTTTTTAACATTTTTCTATTCATTTTCAATCTCTAGCTCGCCTTTATTGTATCCCACGAAATATTTCCCATTTTTAGTTCTATTACGTTTAACTTTTTAGTTTTATTATGTACAGTATATGCAGTTCACCATAGGAGTTGGACTAAATAACAACCATTTGATTTTGAATACTGGTCCACTAATTATTTAGGCTACATAATGTCTTATACCAGTACTTGTCCCATTAGGGACGGACCATTAGAAAAGTGATGGGGGGGGGGTCCATTTCAACCTGTACGATTAGTTTTTCAAAATTGTTTGCTTGTGTCGATATTTTTTACTAATGCACCTATCAATGTTTTCCCCTGAAGGAGTGCTGCGGGAAACCCAGGGGAATTTTGACATTTTAAAAATTTTGTCTTCTGTCGTAAAAGACGAGGACCAGGTTTGTTTGGTTGAATACTATTGTGTATAAAACTATTACAAAGCGTTGTGTTTCGAGTTTTTTCTAAAAACTACCTAAAAGTGCGCCAAAACAACTGTCATGTGACCGAGGCACAGCTAACCCAAAACTAGCCTAGAAATATGAATGTTAATGATCTGCTTTAAGATAAAGATAGGTTTAAAGTTAGTAATTTAATCTAGCATTATTTAACATCCTCCGGGTCCGGGGAAAGTTCTTCGACCAATTTTGAAATATTGTTTCTTGCTCTTAGAGCCGCCGCTCTCTTTGGTCGTGATGAATTGTTTTCAGCAATTGTTCGCGTGTCGGTTTCTTCCGCGCCATTCGATTGTTTTTGTTGTTCTTTGCTAATTTCAGCGGAGATCTCTAACGTGTATAATTTGGTGATTGGTCTGTTCGTGCGACCATTTTTAGTGCGGATGTTTGCGGCTCGCACTAATCCATCGTTTCCTCGAATAAGTTCTTCTATGATTGTTATATGTCTGGAGTAGTTCCGGTGTTTGTTTGAGGCGACGTGCCATGGATCTTGTTCCCCTTTCGCATACCGTGTAGTTAGATTGGAGAGGTGGGTGTTCTGGTTTCCACGGAGATCCTGCTATGTAACTGCCATTCGTGTCACGGCTGATGAATGATTGTTGATACTGTTCGAGAAATTGTTTATGAGGATCATTTTCAGTTGGTGATGTTATTCCCAATGACTCTAGAGACCAAAATCGTTGTAGGTCGTATTCATCTGAGGATATCTGGAAAAAATTTGCAATCGATTGTACTGGTTGGTCAGTTTTTAGCGGGCCTGATAGTAGATAACCAACTTTGGATTGCATGGCAGTAGGCCCATTTCCACGGATGACTTGGTCTTCGATGATGTCCCAGTATTGGTCGGCTCCAACGAGGAGGGAAATTTCAAAATTCTCATAATTTGTTACAAGGTGTGCAAGTTGAAGGTTCTTCAGATGTGGGATGTTGTTGGTGTGGTGATGTGAACGAAGTTGAAGTGGTGTTGCTATTCTTTCAACAATTAGAACGTGTAGTGGAATTTCATCATTGGTGTTGGTCTTAAGGTTGATGACAGTGGACTCGAGGGACCTTGCAGCTGAAGTTTGAGTACCAAAGCCAGCTACACTGATAAATTCTCTTTCTGTGGGTTGTAGTTGCAAGGAGGTTGCTAAATCTTTGGTAATGAATGATCTTTGTGCTCCTTCGTCAAAGAGAATGTTTGCTTCACAGTAGGTGGTTTGATTACCAACTGTTGCTATGGCTGTTTTGAGCAAGGTTTCCGTGAGGGTGGGATTAGTCAGTGGGGCAATAGGGGTCATAGTGGTGTGGACAACAGTACCCAAGGTGTTCCCAGTAACGTTTGCAGCTGGTGAGGGTATTTCAGGTTTTGGCTTACCTTCATTACAGAGACTGGTATGGTGTTTTCCCTTACATGAGCGACAGTGAAACTTTGACAGGCGTGCTGAGGATTTGTGGTGTCCCAAACAATTGAAACAAAGTTTCTGTTCCTTTACAATTGCCCAACGTTTTGAACAATGTTTGATTGTAGCACATTCATTAGATGAATGTTCTTTCTTACAATAAACACATTTCTTCGGCCGGTTTTAGGATGAATGGGTGGAATATATCTTGGTGGTGTTTCATGTCGATTGTGTGATAGGAATGATGACGTGATAGAAGCATGATGATTTTCAGGTGTGATTCTATTTTCCAAACTGGATATCCCTGCTTCCAGAATTTTAATTACCTTATAAATGGATTCTCTTAATTGAGAGAATGTCCATTCCGGGTTACTGTGTTCTCGAGCTAAGTTTCGTCTAAGATTATTGGGTAGTTTGCCAAGGATTATGGGGTATTTTATAAATCAATATATTAATGTGCATAAATAAATCTGATTTTCAGCCATTTTTTGGGAAAATCAACAATTACTGGACTTTACTGCTCAGAGCAGTCTGAGCAGTAAACTATTGCATCAGAGTTACTGCTGTGGGAGCCAAATCAAAATGCTCAAAGGTCATTTTTCAACATTGAAATTATGCTAAATACAATTAATAGTCATAACTATAAAGATTATCTGCCTCGCCCCCAGGCACTAATAAAAAAATTCCGTGCGAGTCACTATACAAAAGGTCTACACGATGTAGTGCATTGCGACGAACAAACGCAGGGGCTTATGGGCTTGAGGCAGCGAAAATTGAGAAGCACTCGTATCCCATCCTTTTGCTTGCCTATAATGATACGCACTACTTCATGTAAACCTTTTATTTAGTGACCCGTGTGTGAAATCGTTTTATAGCGCCTGGGTACGAGGCAGGAAGATTAATATAAATGTCAGTATTATTAAACCTAATTCGATCAGTTTGGATCGACTTTAAATTAATAATTTAATCTAGTACCACATGCATTGCTGTACCACATGCATTGGGAGGGGGGGCATTGCACACCTCCTCCCTCTCAATATATATATATATATATATATATATATATATATATATATATATATATATATATATATATATATTACATGGCCAACAGCAAAACGTACATGACCCCCCCCCCCCAAAGAAAATTGTGTGTAAATGAATCCCTACAGGTGGGTTGAGGCAGGGTATTTCTGTCAACATTTTGGAAAGCAATAACATTTTATTAGAAAAATTAGAATAATCACATATTAAACTCTGTCACTAGTATATATTGTATCGTGTGTGATTAAAATATGGTTATTTCTTTACCCCACCTCTGCATGCAAGGATTTTTTGGCCACCTGAACCTAAAGCAAGTATTATTTTTCAGTTATACCACCATTTTCTCTTTGGCCGGCCCCCATCCCTGTCATAAATAATTACCGGTGCCTTAGAATCGCATTATGTCTGAGTTTGGGGGGTGGGGGTGGGGGGCGGGGGTACGTGTTGTATACTTTATAATATTTAAGGGGTCTTCATTATTAGAACATCATCCCATGAGATTTTCTACAGTATATGACATAACAATCTCTCACCCACATGGGTCATTATTATTTAAGAGCAAGCAGCTCATACTTATTAGACCCATATCTCAATATTTAGGCCAAAAACTAATCTCTGTCCTCATTATAATCCGGTTTCAAATGAATAATTATACAGTCATTTAAAAATACCCAATAAGGGTATTAAGTAAACAATGTTATCAATTGCTTGTGTATGCCAGCACTGTCTCTATTGGGGAAGCCATTGATAGGTGCATCACTGCAATCCCTTGTTGCTGGTATAACACCATCAACAAGTTTCTCGTAAATATCTAGTGAAAATTAACATTTCTAAATCTATACAACGCACAGCATGACTGTGAGCTAGTATATTATATCTTAATATGTATTTGTCATGGGTGACTCCCCAGTTCATAAACCATATTCACATGTACAGTAATATGGCTTGGTTAGAATTATGATTCTTATTTTGAGGAGAACCTTTTGTAGCTATGTCACGTAACACGCGCACAAAAGTAATGGATATAATTTCTTTAAAAGTTTGTTTGTCGCTTTACCTGTAAAACTATGCTAAAATGAAGAGATTTTAGATGCCTGAAGTTCAGTACATTTTCCTTATATTGCTGCATAAATATGGCGTCAATTTTACAGCATATCAATGATAATTGTATTTTTAAATTAATTGACAATATTGACCAACTATTATTTTGTGTTTCTCAGCCGCCAGATGGATTTAAAAAGGTTGCTAACTTGGTCAGCTACAAAATAGAGCTAAAACAAAGTAGTTTTGAGCGGAATGCCAAGTAGAATTTAATTTTTGAACACTTTCACTTCGCAAGTACGCATAATTGAAAAAATTGCCTCTTAATATTTATATTAAGAAATTGATGAGCATGGTAATATAAAAGCCTATCGTACTTTTCATTTGTTTCAGCTAGATGTTCTGATTGCTGATATCAATGTCAGAGAAACTCATGGAGAAACCAGTAGATAGAATTACCGTTGAAGTGAACGGAGTCCAGCATATCATTTTCAACACAAGTCCAAAAACATCTTTAAATGAATGGTTGAGATCACAGCCTGGGTTGAAGGGTAAGGTCTAAGGAACACATTTCTATTGTGGGGATGCGGGCTGATTCTCTGGTGGGCGGGCGAGTGCTGACTGAATGATCTTATCCAGAATTCTACTTCTTTGTAGTTCTTTGTTATTTCTTGCAGAACCAATTACATTCATATTATCTGTTATAGTGACGAGTGTTAATTTTTCAAATCTGGCGGGGGGTTGTAAAAGATAAAAATTGTGTTACAAATTAAAATTGGGAATTCTTAACGTAAAAAATTCATGACTTGAATAAAAATCCATTAAGGAAACACGGAACATGAATTTTGAAGATGCACTTAGGTCTGCTTTCCCTATGTCCAAACAGTTTGTTTCTGATGGCACTGTTATTCAATACCTGATGATGACATGTGAATATAGAAGTGTCTCCAATCGTCAAGCCAAACATGATTGGCTGATTTGTGGTCATGTTGCGTTATATAAATGCAATGTATCCCGCCGGACAACAAGTGAAAAATTGACCGGCTACGTACATGAATAAACAAGTTTATACACTCCAAATTTGTGGTAAAATAAAGAATATGTAAAAGAGAGAAAAATACACCACCAGCAACATGATATGCTGCTAAAACCATTTCAGTAGGTTCTTTTAATTTTAAACTCGTTTACAGTTTTGTGTTTTTGTCATGAGATACAATTATTGTTGAATGAATGTTGTTGATTTTTCTTTTGTCGCTATATAAAAAAACACTGTTCTCTCGGTATGTATTCCCTCGAATCTCAATGTTTACAATATTCTAATCTACCACACGCACGTCTATCAAGCCGTGTAAACTTAATGTGTCCAGAAGCGTAGCCATGTGGCGGGATTGGATGGGGGCGACTCCCCCACTCTCTTTTAGGACCACCTTTGAGAAATGTCGCTAATTTGCCATCGCCGTCGCGTTTCCCAGGAGAGCATGCCCCCCCCGCTCCCCCCCCCCCTACTAACGTTCGCGGCACCCACCCAACAGTATCTTCATTACGCCATTGATTGTTCCTCCTCCCTTCTGTATCGCTGGCTACGGGACTGAATGTGTTCTTTAGCATGGTCGATCCAGGCACGATCTAGTGATCCTAATGTTATATTTTCACTGTCTTTCATAACGGCCAGTTATGCACACGTTCATTTGACATATTTCTGATACTAGGAAAAGGGCATATTTATTAATTTCATGATTGAATGTGTTTAATATCACCCTGCAGGTACAAAAGTGACATGTCAAGAAGGAGGATGTGGCGCGTGTATTGTCGCACTGACAAAACAAGATCTGAGCACAAAGAAGGACAAAATTATTGCCGTCAATAGTGTAAGATTTATTTTTCATTTTACTAAGTAACTTTATTATATATTTTACTTCTATAACCAGGTTGGAAAATTTGAAAATTGGAAAGACTTTTATTTTCAGGGCATCGAAGTTCTGATCCCCAAAATTGGAAAGACTTTTATTTTCAGGGTATCGAAGTTCTGATCCCCAAAATGTCAGTGGTGGTTCTTAGGCGTGGCTCCCATTCACTCCCCGCTCATGAAATGGAACCATTTTTGATATTTGTAGCAGAGGCCGTTGATTAAATCATAAAAACTAAAGATTGAGGTTTTTAATTTGGGTGCTCATATGTTTTCCCCGAACTGAAATGACTCTAGAAACTGCCTTGTCTTCCTGGGTCCACAAGGTCCTGAAGGGAACATGAGATATTTTGTGTTAATTATCAACAATCAGTAACTGTCAGGACATGTAACTGTCATGTAACCAAACCTGTTGTTGCACTTTTCTGTCTCACGCGGCATGAACAGTTGTGCATGGTGGGACTGTATCAAAGAAAAAAAAAGAGGGAGGAGTCGCAAGTGAATGGTGCTCGACATGGTACTGATATTTTGGTGCTGAAATCTCTGACAGAGATCGTTCGAGATTAGTTCTCTGCTGTGCTTTTGGCTACTATAGCTAGACAGCTGCGTATTGAGGAAGATTCAACTACGTATACCTGAAAATATATACCTCAAATTCAAATTGTCCAATCAAAAAACAGCATTTGTATCACGTAACGATGTGATTTTTTACAGTATTTCACTCAAATTCATGATATCTCGTTCGCGAGCTGTTGTTTGTAATTTCGTACAGAAGATTTATTGATTTATGTTATTGAATTATGTTACTTTAAATAATCCAAATGGTACACACTGAAATATTTTAAAAGAAAACGTTAAAAACTCAGGTATACATAAGAAACTAAAAATTGTATTCGCTTAGTTAATATTCAGCAAGTTTTAAAGTTCATTCTGAATCTAGTGGGATTCGTCGAAATATTACCCCGTAGCTAGACCGATAATTGGGCGGGGGGTGGGGGGTGTTTGCATATTCATATATTCGTGTTCTGCCCGACGGATTTCTTTTGAAAGCGATTGTTTTCACGGTATATGAACATGAATATATGAATATGCACTCCCCCAATTATCGCGTCTAGCTACCGTCCTGTCCCTCAGTGATGATATGGGTAATATTTCGCCGAACCCCCCTCACCCTGGGTGTATAAATAACAAAATAATATAAGCTAATGCGTGGCTGTTTTCGTTGGGTTCTCCATTTTTCCAGTTCTCCAAACGCTTTTTTTACGTGATCTTAAAATATTTTCTTTTACAGTGTCTCTTTCCTTTATTTGCTGCTGATGGGTTTAAGATTACAACGACCGAAGGATTGGGCAGGTAAGGCCTTATAAGAGATTAGGTCGGCTATGTTTGAGCGAAAATGAAAGTGCGCGAGTGAAAAGCGCGGATTTTGGTGCAAATACAGCAGTACATGGGGGAGGTGGAAAATAATTGACGTTTCTGCAACGATTGCGCAATATGTCAAATGATTAATATTTGTTGACTGGTTAGTGCAGATAGGGGCTCACATCCCCAATTTTTTTTTTTTTGGGGGGGGGTGTAAAATATTTTGGGACCGACTTTTTACATGTTTACATTTGCAAGCGACGCGTTACCCTGGTTGCCAGAGGTTCTGTATCTTTCGCCTTATTCTCGCTCGTATTTATTTTACGCGAGGCGAAGAGAACCTCTGGTGGCACGCGATACAAATCTCTCTTCCACGCTGACGTTGCCGTTTGAGAACTTGCAAAACCAGTTTTATATTTTGTGACGTTTTTAAATTCCGGGTTTGTCATTCTACCAAAATAGCTCTCTTCAGACTGTTTGGCAGTCTTGTGTAAAATATTAAAAATGACAAAAGCAGCCCAAACATGTAGATTATTCATTAGAAACATGCAGTCGTAGATTATTCTCGCAACGCTCAAAGCAAAAAGCAACCTTACTGACTGTTAAATTTGTGGAATGCCGTTTGTATTAACGAACGTATATAAAGTCAAAAGTGAAAGAATATAAGTATATAAATATTTATATATGTGTGTGCAACGGAGCCAGTATGTTCGTTTTCTTAACAGACAACGGGAAAATATTGGCAAAATAAATCATATTAATAACTATTAAAGTCAAAGAATTACCAAAATTTAAAGCCTTGAACGATATAAAGCAAGTGACCAACACTTTATATTTTACAAATATTAATACTGTAATAGAGTGAACATGTCATGCCGTCAACCCAAGTCATGCCGCGATGGCAGCTCTTCTCCAGCGCAGAAAATCTTTTTATAGCGGAACAAAAGTAGTTAATCTCAAATAACCCACACCAAGCAAAGCATTTTAATACGTTCGTATTATTTCTGTATTTTGTTTACATTATGTTCTCTGAGATTTATAAACAGGTTTTTTTGTCTAGCCAATCACATCACTTCATGTGACTGCTAATTATAACTAACCAATCATGTGCTTGGTACCAATTTTGTACCAAAGGAAGAGAGATTTGTATCGCGTGCCACCAGAGGTTCTCTTCGCCTCGCGTAAAATAAATACGAGGGAGAATAAGCCGAAAGATACAGAACCTTTGGCAACCAGGGTCGCGACGCGTATATATAAAGAGGGAAATAATACTGACCATCGAATCTCCGAAATGGCATTTCTATGCCATTGGATTGTTTTTGCCATAGTAGCCTTTCCCACAAAAATTTTGTAAAGAAATAAATCATGCATAAATTCAATGTGCCGAGTCATTTGCGATCAATATTTCTGTCCACGATTACGTTTATATATCTCTATGAATCTTGAAAGATGGTTGTATAAAAGGTGCAAAAATATTTGCAAAATTTAAGTCTCTAGATTGTTTGCCTCTTTCGTTCGGTCCTTTTCAAACTAAATTGGTACACCAGTTCGGTATGCAGCGCGGAAACGATGCTGATTCAAATAAAATCTTTATTAATTTATTTGGACACGGAAAGAAAACAATAAGTTTACAGTTTACGTAATGTTTATACCGGACGGACGGTACCGACAAAATTGTCCGTTTGGGACCGAGTTTTTGGACATTTCTCAATATTACGGGGTGTAACAGCCCTCCCCCCCCCCACACACCCCTAAAGGCCTAATTCCACGACGAGCGAAATGCGAAAAATTTCGCGCGAAAACCCCATTTGTGCGAAAATTTTCTCTCGTAGTGATTTCCACAGAAGAGAAAATATTCGCCCAAAACACAAGCATTTGATTGGTTTCGCTATTTCCGTTTCGCAACGGAGTAGAAACGAATTCAACTACCCGGCGAAAAGAAATATTTCGCGGAGAAACATTCCAAAATCATGTTGCGCATGCGTTCAACCTTTTTAAGCGAAATTTTTCGCATTTCGCTCGTCGTGGAATTAGGCCTTAATATGCGCCCCTGAGTGCAGAAAAAGTATTTTTGAGCGGTTAATTCGGTGGATTATAGTAATAAAGGACTTCCAAATTTACTCACGTCCGGCGATACATGGCAAAATCAGTTAATTCTAAAACGTCGTAAATTGGCGTTTCTTCTATATACAGTCACAGAAAACTACAAACTCATGTTGCGATCTTTAGGCAGTCTATATGTTGAGAATATATTAATGCTTTACGTTCTATCAACTAGACCAAACTTCACAGTAATAAAACTTTTAAACTTGTGTCTAAAATTGAGTGCGATAAATTTTGTCAAGAAATTATGAAGTTAGCCTCGATTTGCTTGTGTGCCGGTAATGCGTTCAAATATGCGAGAAAAATTGCACTTAATATATTCCTAGCATTACTTTGTAAATCCCATTTTCGAAAGCATTTTGATTAATCGTGCTTTTTCGTTCGTTCTGCAGTAGTCGTTCTGGATATCATCCTATCCAAGAACGCATTGCAGAACACAATGGCAGTCAATGTGGATATTGTACGCCGGGAATGGTTATGAACATGTACAGGTAAGAAGTATAGTGTTGCAATCAAGTTTACAATTCACGAACCCTACATGTACCTCCTGCGCAGGCGTTTCTGCGGGCGGAACAAATTAGGGAGTGAACACGCGATCGGAAAAAAATTGGCGGGTGACTTGCGAAATGCCCGCGAAGAACATTATTCGCGGCAGACCGGAATCGTTCGAAATATGAAATTTCAATTTCCAACCTGCCAACGAGCGTACTCTGCCTTACGAAATTTGGGAATTCATTGATTTACGGCCTGTGGAGGAGGTAGTCACGAACCGAATTCCCATGCAAAAGCTAAATCAAGTTCAGCATTGTTATAGCTTAATCAAGTTCAGCATTGTTATAGCTAAATCAAAGTTCAGCATATTGTTACAGCTAAATCAAGTTCAGCATTTCCGAAATATACTGACACGTATGTATTAAAATCTGAAATATACTGACACGTATATATTAAAAAGGAAAGACATTGCTTTGGATTTAAAGCTGATACTACAATCAAAATAGAAAATAGGTCAGAAAAAATTAGTAAGAAGCCAAAAATTAGCGTATGCACTCTCTTCAGCAACCTAATTGATAACATACTAAAAGTCCTCATGTATCCTCTTTCTGCATTATGACAATTTTTTGTTCGATTTCCCTAGTGAACTCCTATATTGTTAAAAAAGTGAAATTTCAGATTCATTTATAGGAAAAATAAGTTACATCATTAGAAAAGTTAAAAAAAAACTACATATAAGACATTTAATCGGCTACCTTGATTTTGCAAGTTCTTCTTGAGTTATGAGCTGTTGGAAACGTGTTGTCAGACTAGTACCCAGGATTTTTGCCAGATTTTGGCCTATTTTTCACATTTGGAATAGCAATAACTCGAAAACCGCTTGAAAAATTTAGGTGACTGTTTAAATGTCTTATATGTAGTTTTTATGAGCTTTCTAGTGATGCGAGTCATTTTTGTTATGAGTGAAATTATAGAAATTTCACGTTTTTTAACAATATATGGGAGTAATAGGGAAATCGAAAAAAACCTTGTCATAATGGAAAAAGCTCCAAGAGGATACATGGGGACTTTTAGTATATTGTTCAGGATAGTTAAATTATTGCATCTAACAATTTTTAGCTTTTTACTATTTTTTTCCCAACTTTGGCTTTAAAATGAGCTAAAATTACTGAACTACGAGGTTTAGCTAAGCAAGCCACAGCTACAGTACTTGACAAATGCAGACTTGCATGTTACACACTTGACAGTTGAGGAAAAGAAACGGGTAGTGACGTTTGTAACGGTCTGTGCCAGTGTAGCTATAGTGCTAGTAGTAAGAATTAAAGCTTCGGATTGATAGGGATGCAAGTACAAGAAAAATACAAGGAGAACTTCGAGAAAGGCCTTCGAGGAAGTTAGGCTCCGTTTACACGAGACTGGAAGAAATCAAACCGGGACCATATCGTTTCGGTCATAGTATTATTTATAATAGATGTTTACATGAGACCGGGACAAAGATAACTCAGACCGGTCTCAAGTCGTTCCGCTTGCTGGACCGAACCGAACCTTTCCGTTTATAGTACAAAATTAAATGACTGAAAATTGCAAATTTCGCAAGGCTATGTTATCCGCATTTTACAATATTTCGCAACGAAACATTGAAATATTACCAATTTTGTGATGCTCTTTCAAGCTATGATGAAATTTTTGTCTAGATCAAAATTTAGTCTACTGTATAATGCAAATGGCCATTAATGTAAACACATTGTCAAATACATTTCAGATCGGTCTCAGCTGTAACCTTGACATCGGAACAACAGATGATAACAAAAGCCATCTAAAAAAGAAAATTGCCTAGCAAGGGGAATAAATGGAAACTTTTGTGATTTTCATACTGGTCTCATGTAAACATGTTGACAATTTCAATTTTCATTCCGGTTCGACTTCGTCCCGGTCTCGTGTAAACGGGTCCTTAATAGTCGACCAAGGGCCTTCGCTCGAAACGTCGAGGTTCTCCTTGTATTTTTCAGTTAGTTGCGACCTATCAATCCAAAAGTTTCTTATATAATAATAAAATAAATAACAAAAATTAGTAATGTTATCTGATGACCTGACGTTTGGGTGAAGCGAAATTTCAATGAATCAAGAGTTGCTCTCATTGTTCTTCTAAAGGCCTGTTTAAACGGATCCAACATTGTTGGACCAACATCATCCAACAATGTTACTATACTAGATATGACTGCTTCTCTTTCAAATCTTTTTGGTTAGATAAGCTTTACTCAAACCCTAAACCTAGTCTTGACAAAATATTTGAAAAAGAAGCCGTTTGAGCCATTATTTCAACAATGTTGGATGATGTTGGCCCAACAATGTTGGATCCGTTTAAACAGGGCTTAATTGTGATGACTGCATGCAGTTTCTTTCCTTTTTGTTTTAGTTTGCTTTCTGAAAACGCCCAACCTACTAAGCAAGAAATTGAAGATGGTTTTGACGGCAACCTATGCCGTTGTACTGGTACGGTATGACGTTGTTTAAAATATTAGAGACCTTAATATTGGCGTATTGTTCGCAAACGTGTAAGCGCTAACTGCTAGAAACCGCGTCATGACCAGGAGCTCGCCATCGCGTTTGCCGTAAATCGCTCACGTTTTAAATCTCAAGAGTGCATTCTACAGGTAAGTGATTTACTTCAGCATTTTATTCAAAAACTGTTATTACTTCATAGCACGTATATCACAGATACATATACATCTTATCTTTGATTTGGATGGATTAAAGTTGTTTATAACGGGAAATGTCATGAAATTGGACCATTTATAAACAACATGGCGCCCAATTTAGTTACTATAATATACTTAATGTTAAACAGACATGAAAATTTCGATTGTTTCAACATTTTGTGCCTGATTTTGGTATGATAAGTTTCTTAAGTTGAGGTTTGTTTATTTTAAGTCATGTTTTGAATAATTTTAATGGAACCATTCCGATGGATCCTGCTACAGTTTTGGCGGTTTGCGGTTAGGCGTAAATAAAACAAACGTCAATCTTATAAGGTCTCTAATTGTTGAAGGGATGTGTACATGGAAATGCCATGCAGTGGAATTTTTATACATTTCTTAGACCTAACCAGGTGCAGTTGCGAAAAATGCAACTATATAGGCCCTCTGGCAGGAATCGAACATGCGGCCCTGCGATTCCGGTGAGCGCCGTTACCACCTGAGCCACATATGCTGACAGTTGTCAAGCTCTATAACCACAAGTTATTGCTTGTTTTTAGATACAGGCTTACGGATAATAGAGAACTTTAGATTACGACTGCGACTGCCAGCTTCGTTTATTTGGATACGCAATATTCCTACGTCATCGTGTTAAATCTCGCAACCGTGGCCAAATTGACAACGCGATTTTTGAAAGGTCTAGCAGTATAACAAGCACGTACTACCAGATTATGGCGTGCGTACGTAATGGCGTAAGATGATGGCGAGCATGTGGAAACAAACGAATCTCGCAGTCGTTCTCGCAGTAAAATGTGAACCTCCCAAATATTGCACTTGGCGATACTGTTCTATTTGAGCTATTATACAATTAATTTCACAGGTCCAACAGCCCGCGTGAGCCCATGAGCAGGCGTGCACGTGTTGTTAAGTGTTCCAATACATCGAATATTCACCCAATATGACTTGAAATATTCATATCCCTATCAAATAATTGTATGTTTAGGTTTCCGTCCCATTCTTGATGCGATGAAATCATTTGCAAAAGATGAGAATCCTATTGATATCGAGGTATATGGTAACATAATTTTGTGACCATATAACACCTCATTTAATTCTGGTCATACGTAATTGGCGGATTATGATCCCGTGATATGAAATTAAAATTACCATTTTGCCGTGCATGCAATAGTTCAAGTACCATTGCACGTTAGGGTTTAATTTACTTAATTAATTCATTCAAAATCATTTAACTATAATTTTCATACTGAGACCGATGGAATTAAATTCAAATAAATTTTTAACTCGTGCCAAGAAAAATAGCCGGTATCGCCTCGTGAAATGGAAAATTCCGTCTTTCGTCTCATGAAAATATTTTTACCATTGCACTCATAAACATTCATTGGTTGTATTCTATGCTCTGACTCTTTTACTGCATGGATGACATGTACAGCAGTAACGAAAGTCTTTCACTCATGTTCACTCTGGAACATGAGCCCCGTGTACGGTTAAGTGGTTCATGATCAACGCATACATGTGTGCTAATCGCCTTCCAATGAGGCTGTATGCTAAATTGCAAAGGACGTACCCGAACGTTAGCGACTTGAAGAGTTACTATATATATATATATATATATGCGACCTCTGGCTGCCACCGGCTGCTACGCAATATTCCAAATCTATGAGGACTGAACTAGATTTTAAGGTCCGCGCAATTTGATCAAGTCGAGAGGCGAAACCGAGGACGATGTGCGAGTACACTCTAAGCAACATGTTGCCTCATTATGTTTCCAGGACCTTCAAAGATGTCAAGGCAAATGTTGTGGTGAGACCAGAACTTGTCATGGTTGTTGTTTCAATCAAGAACAAATTTCAGCTCCAATGTGGTTTAAACCCGCGTCTTTAAAATATCTATATACGATCCTGAATGCACATTCATCCGACTCAGTTAAAATGGTTGTTGGTAACACTGGGAAAGGTAATTCATATTATACAATAATTTATTTGAACCGAATTTACATCGTCGTCATGTGGCGCCCTGCATGCATCTAAGGTCTCTAATTTAAAAAAAAATCGGGAAAACGAGCACTGACTAGTGATCTCACCGAGCACTGATCGATCCATGTACAGATCCGCTGTACACTGTAAGAAACTAATAGGTTAATAAAACAACAACAAAAAATAGGGTTTTCGAGATGATTCAAGACAGCCTGTCTAAAATAGGTTGTTTGTATACTAGGTAAAAACAACCCATTTCAATCATATATAGGTTATTTTAACTAATTTATATATGTTCCGGCCTATTGAATTGGTTAAAACAACCTATTTTTATTGGCCATAGCCTGCGTAGCAGGCGTTTAGCTGACGGGCGGGTACAGAGGGAACGGCTGCCCAAATTGGCTATGACAGTTTGTTTTCGCCCATTAAGGATGATTGACGTTTTGTAATTAGCACCTTCACCCATTATCCAATCATAGTCGAGATTTATATTTAGTATCATGCATGCTTTTTGCTCGGCAACTACGGAGATTTGCAGAGATTTTATGCACTATTTAAAACACAAGCAGCAGTGTTTTATCAGATATAAAGATGGTCTGATAATACACGCACTGCGAATGTTTTAAATTGCTTCAAAAACGATCGATCTAGTATTACGTTCATTGGCGATGTAGCTTTCAAAAAATTCGGTGTGTATATGTAGCTAGAGAAAATCATTAAAATTTATGTAAATCAAGGGAAATCTCTATCACATATCACGGATACGACACGTTTATGATTTTTCTTTGTGTTTTCCTCATGAATTATTAATGATTTTTGAAGCTATTTTAGACAACAGTCAGTCACAACGTGCACAGAGCTTTTATCTTTTAAAAGACTCCTGAACCACGGTTGTTTAACGTATTCTGCCGTATAGCAAATATAACAGTTGAGCATGTTTTGAAATGTTATTCGTAAAATCATCATTCAACCTCATAGCTGCAATGCCAAGTGATATAGCCTCAACTATCTGGTCTTGAATTATACTTTAAGGTGGAAAAAATAACAAGACAACTATATTAAAGAAATATTCAGGATATATTTAAAATGTATAATTGAAATATCAAACTTTTCCGTATTCCTTAGGAAGAATCGCGATAACCGGCGTCTTCACCACGTAGCAAATTAATAATATACTTTCTCTGTTCTGGTTCAACTGAATTTTCGAAGCCTAAATACTTGAAATATAAGAAAGTTTCCTCGAAAGCATTAGAGTAAACAGGCGGCATATTTTTGATACGCGACTATATAAAACGCGTCAACGCGAGCAAAATTATTGTTGACATTTGAGTTACGTAATTACTTCCGTTAACGAGATTAACCAATGGGAAGCTTTTCCGAAGATTCTTCGGAGAAGAACAAATTAATCATAGGCATTTGGGCAGGCGTTTATTTAACGACGCCCTTTCTTCTCCCGCCCGCACTAAACGCCTGCTACGCAGGCTATATTGGCCATAGCCAATCTTTCACAATTGGTCAAATAATAATATTAGGTTATTTCAATTGTTTATACTGGTTCTAACCTAATAAAAAACAACCTATACTACACTAATATTGCATGCAACCTTTAAAAATAAGCTATTTTAACCTACCAGTTTTAACAGTGTACTAATTATACATTATATCAAATCTGCTGGATAAAACAATCTGATATTTAGGTGTTTACAAGAATGATGGTGACTTCGACGTTTACATTAATATATCCGATGTCTCTGAATTGAATGTCATACAGGTAACTATGTGAAAAGGTCCCTCTTTGGAAATCACTCTTGTGCGTTATGGACGTTGGAAGTATTTACAACTTCCCTTCGTCCAAATAATTTAAACCCTGGTTTCCATATGACGCGGACAAGTCGCCGCAGAATAGCGCAACCAAAACTACAATATGTTTTAATGTCTCACTTGCATCAGCTTGCATCGTCGCCCCACATTCTTGTAAATTTCGCTCACTGAATAAAGTCACCATCTAACACGTTACATGTAAACTAGAAATACATGCATGCAGCAACCCCTCGCATGTATTTTCCAAACATTGATTTAACATGAAGTATTAGTAATTGATTAACACTGAACCTGTGACTGAACGCAGGCTAGCGTTTACGTCAGTGTTGCCATGGCAACACGATAAATTTAATTTTTATTATATTTTTTGTACAACACGACAAAAATAGTTGAAAGATTATAGCTTTTAACTATATAACAATGAATTTCCGAAATATGTACTGTAGGTATGTTGTTCTGCATTTTGTGAGCTTTGATATAATGTAAAATTTAACGTGAATCGCTTCGTAAAATGTTTTGAAATGTTCATTTTAATATTAAACTATAAGGAAAGCAGTGCATGTTTTACGCAATAAATTAAAGCAACAAAATTCATAAACATTAAACATTCAAAGCAAACTTGCCCTATACCACGATTTTCCACAGTAAATCAATTCTAGCTTCTCATTTCTTCAAACAACAATTGCTTCAAAGCTCATTGTGTGAGACGTGATTTTCCAAATATATGCTTTTGAAAATTGAAATCTTGCTTATCCCACTCCTGGGAAACAGCCATATTTTTGAGATCAGTCAGGATGACCACCCACGGTTGGTGGCCGACGCCCGCGCTTATTGATGAACTTTAGACTTGGCTAATACTTCCCTTTCCCCGGGTGTAAATAGCCGGGGGGAATTAGTACCCTCGCTCGGCGCTTCGCGCCGTCGGCTCGGGGATAAAGGAAATTCAAAGAATTTTCTCAAATGTGTCATGAATATTTGTTGTAGGTGACTGACTCCGCCCTGCAGCTTGGTGCCGCACTTTCCCTAAATACTAATCCAAGAATTGATGAACTGTTCTCAGAAATCCAAGTCATTTGAGATTCTTGCAACTCACATTAAAAAGGTGAAGTGAAAATGATATGTTTCTGACATACAAGAATATCCGTTTTGGAATTAATGAATAAGCGTTGCGTCCATAGTTAACTCCATGCCAAGAGTTTAAGAGCTAGCAAATACTGAGATTTAAGGCTATGTTTACGTCAGTATCGGATAGCTTGCGTGGCGACGCAAAAACCATATGTACACGCCCTTTTCATAAATGGCTGCCGATTAAAAATTCGTTTATGTGCATAAAGATTGGCCCAACTAGCCTCGTTTATGGGTAGAAATTCCTTTGAAATCTTAACTTGAGGACGAGGCTAGTTGGGCCAATTTATATGCACATAAAAGAATTTTTAATCGGCAGCCATTTATGAAAAGGGTGTATAGGGCTTGTGTTTACGTATGAAATTATGTAATCGTATCAATTTATGCATCGAAGCGCGGCTGCGGGGCTCCGCTCTTCCAAACGGATTGGTTTTTGGAACGCTGTTATGTAATATTTCAAATTCGACTATGAGGACTGGACTAGATTCCATGTTCGTGCAATTTGTTCAATCTAGTCCAGTCCGAATTGGTGGATTTGAAACGACATCTCGTACGAATACATCTCTACTTGAACTGAGGTAAATTAATTTTGATTAAGTCCAAGGACTGAATTAATTTTGATCCAGTTCTAGGAATGCATCAATATACTTCACCAGATATCCAGTTCAGTATTATCATGCAAGCCAAATCATTGCTAATTTACTCATGAATTATTAATGAGTTTGAGAGTGAGCAAGCTAAACCCGTAAATAAGATTAGAATAGCACGTGTTTGTCCCGTCTTGAATCACGGATTGAACCCAAAATTGCTACTATTGGTTTTTAAATTACAATCAAATGACGTCTGTAATATTTTTGTTTTTGGTGAATATATACAAGAAAATACGAAGGCATAGAAGGGCGGGGACGTAAACTGCATGTTTACACTTGGCCCGTAACGTTTGGCGAATGAAGCAAAGACCGATCCGATACAATGTAGAAACAGCTTAAATTTATCTATTTACAATTATTGGGTCGGGGTGGGGGCAGTGAATGTGTTTCAAGCAGCAGATGAGATATATACTGTCAATTAATACATTTAATTTTTGTTCACAGATTGCTAATGTCCCAGTTAGAAATGTAAGTACTAGAACGAAACGATTACGTATTATTAACGTATAATGGTATCATATTTAATCTGGTAAATTCATGTTGGGATAGTTGGGGTTTTTGGATGATATCGTGGGCATATGTAAAAATCTATGTAAAAATCGCATTAAAATAACTTGTTCGCAACGCTTTATAGCACTTCAATGTGAAAATAACTGCATGAAGCTGCATGTATTACTGATAATAGAGCGACGGAATCAAATTTTGTTTTGAATTCTATCTAGATTGGCTGTTGGGCTGGCAACTTGATGCTCATTCACAAACATCGTGATTTCCCGTCAGATATGTTCACAATAATGTGCGCAGTTGGAGCCACCATTATAATTGGTAAGATAGAAAATGGTAGTTTGTATTTAAGAAATAGAAAATAGTATCCGTGTTTATTTTCTGTGTTGGTGTAGTGTACTCAGGTGAATATGATATTTGTAGTGTTACTCTGAGTGTATATCCACACCGGGCGAGCTTGAAAAATATGCCCGGCCACGGTGGGATTCGAATCCCACCGTGGCCGGGCATATTTTTCAAGCTCGCCCGGTGTGGATATACACTCAGAGTAACACTACAAATATAGTATCCGTGTTTCTATACAGTTACAGAAATAACGCACGTTCTTCCTCTTTACACTTTGAGTTCTGTTAAACTATCTCAAGTGTTTTTGTCACAGATGGCTTTCATGAGGAGTTGAGGACCTCGTCTGAGGTGCAAATTATGTTTATTCAAATGATGATTGAACAGTTGAATACTTCGACGTGCATATTCTAGACCGCGAGCAGTCTCTCAAGGGAAAGGACGGTCTGCCGACAACTCATCAAGAAACGAAATACGCGTTACCTACACAACGCAAAATTCCCATGGGTCAAAATCAATGCGCCTGTCAATCAAATCTG